TACCCAAAGCAAGGTGCAGTGGACTAAGACCATCAATGTTCAATTTCTTCCCCAGCGAAGGCTTTAGCCTCAAGATTTCAAGGGCAAGGCCGGTACGGCCTCCTGAAGCAGCAGTATGAAGAGGTGACTCCACAAATGTCACCTCATTGGGGGCATCCAAGTACTCTGGATTTTTGCGTATTGCTTCGTACAAGGCAAAGATATCTGGATCTTGAACAGTGTTCATTCTGCAAACTCGAGGATCTTGAACAATGTTCATTCTACAAACTCGAAAAGTGCTCGAGTATTTTATTTGGAACTGATCTGAGTACAGCCTGTTTGTTTCCAATTTTTTAGCTCATTTTAATAAATTTTCCTACGGTTGCAAATCTAAGCAGTCTTTTTTTTTTGTCTTTTTATCTCACAATGGACCCTAGAAGTCAGAAGAGTTAATTCTGGTTGACAATTAATGGAAAATGTGATGACCGTATTTCTCATCTCCTTCCACATTCAATGAATTTCCTCATCATTGATTTTTCTTCTATCCTAATGCATTTAATAAATTAATAATATGTTATAGTCAAAGCATATAGAAAGAAAGCTTAACAGCAAAATCTGGAATCAAATACTGATTTCTAATAAGTGTATTTATACACTTATCTGAATCGTTACATGAGATTAATTGTTGTGAATTTTATGAGTTATTTTTAATTATATATATTTTGCTTGTTTGGAGAAACTCGATGCACTTTGGTGATCTTTGCTACTGGGCTGGACATTTCATCGTAGTCCTATCCATATTGTTGTGAAAATCCACGAGCTACTAGCCAAATTGTATATTTTTCAATTGATCAATCACAATGTCTCTTTACTTTGTATACCCCCATTTACTCCTATAGGGTTCACTCCATGAGGCCTGGGCTTCAATATTTAATTGTATACTTTCCATCTACCCAAGTATACGAATAACACCAACGGATATACATGTATCAATATTTAACGAGCTGTTGTATGTGCTTGTGAGAAACACTAAGAGTCGAAGAACTGCCTGAGTCATCTTCAGTTGCTATCAAATTTACAGCCCTATAATCCTTAGAACCAGATGGTGGCTTGTGGAGTTGTGGTTGGGAGGATATCCATAGATTTCCCAGCATGTGTCCACAGTATGGTTAGTCCTCCCACACTTGCTACATGGTGCCTTATTCTTTGACCAAAATGGGTAGAAACGAGTTTCTCGATGATTGCATTGACCAAAAGAATATATAATTTATAAATGGAAACTATTCTAAAACAAAAGTGAAAAATGGAAATCATTAGTATTTTAGTATCACCATTTTTCTATTTGTATAGTTTTATTGAAAGAAAAAAAAAAAATTATGATAGGGACCAGCCGGCCAGGCTCTCTTATACGTAGCTGAAGTGAAGAAACTCATATATTATAATCTAATAAGAGACAATTTTATTTTTTCTTTGGCAACCACTACAGATCTTACAGAAAAAATGCAATAAATATTAAGATGACTTTACATGCATGCTACCATCTTTAAGCTTAAGCTGAAAATTATTTTCCTTGGCCTTCCAATCAATATGTAGTTTCTGATTAATGTGCTTTTTGCAATATTGATTGTGAGACATGACAGCACATTTGATGCAGTACCTTCATTGTGATGTTTTCCTTTCAGCCATCCAAGTCACTATGGGTCCTTGATTCATAAATGTGCTACCAAACATGAGATATTTCACCTCATCAAGGTTGTATTCGTGGTAGATATCACCTCTTATTTGCCCTTTCCTTAGTGTGGTCCTCCAAGTAAGACAGCGCGATTAATGACACAACTACCAACACGGTAAAAGGACCTCCGAATATTTCATATGCCAATGCTGCATACGATTAATGACAGCGCGATTAATGACACAACTACTAGCAGGTTTATCTTGAATGGTCACGTCCTTGATTGACGACGGGCAGACAATAAGAAATCTAATCAAAAGATCGATGTTGTCATTTGATTTCGCTGCATAATGCAAAAGAATGATCGAATGATGTCCAGATCATCAATCATGTCTGTGGGCTTTGTGGTTCTCCTAGCCCATTGGGCTGACCCGTTTTTGTGCTACTTTTGAGGATTAATTGTATCCCTTGATCTTGATCTACGGTTGGGAGCAAATCTAACTAGATATTTTCTTAGGGCTTGGCTTATTTGGGAATACGCTCCTCTTTATCTGTATGCACTCTCTCTTCTTCGAAGCGGCCCCCGTTTTTCTCTCTGGAGAACCATTCTTCTTCCTACCTAAAATCTACCTTGGTTAGCCTGTCGGAGAGGGGAACACCTGAGTTGCTCAGACCTGAAATAGGGTTGAGTTATTGGTTTATTCTCGAGGGTTAGGTCAGATTTAAGGTTCTTGGCTGCTATGGTAGATCCTTTTGGATCGATGACCCAAGCCAGGTGTTGAGCGTTCTTTACCGGTTCTTGCACTCTCTATGGAAGGCGATTTGCAAGCTTGGATGCTGTTCCTGAGCCTATACCATTCGGCCGAATAGAAGAAGTGGACAACCTGTAGAAAGGGAAGAAGAAGGCAGCTTACTGGACGGGTAAAAGGGAAGTAGAGCTTCATTTTTATGCTTTCGATTCTGTCCAGTATATGTTCTGTATTTTCAGTCTCTGTTGATTTCCGTATGCTATGGTTTATATGTTTATACAAATGTTAGGCTACGATGTTGTATATTCTGTAAATGCATTGTAAGCATATTTTAGAGCCTGTTAAACTCTGTTGAACTTGTTTATGCTTTGAATATTGCTATAATTTTCCCTAACATGTGGTATCAGAGCCTAGTTTAGGTCTAGGGCTTGTTTATCCTTCATAAAATTTGGCATTTTAAATCTGCTATTTGACTTGCTATTTGGGTCAGTGGTTTATCTGTTTATACCTTTTGAGGTTTAAACAGAAACCATCACTGCTTTTGGCATTCTAGGGTTTTCTAATTCGATACTGATTATTGGTTATTTTCTGCGTATATGCTGGTGGCTGGATTGGGTGATTCTGGAAACTTGGATTGGCTGAAGAACTGGTGGTATACTTACTGTTTTTCAACAGTGGTTTGGTAAGATTATTCCAAACTCTCCGATAGGTTAAGTTTGGTACTTTTACCATTTTTTTGCACGATTGCTTGGTTACTAAATTCATGTGATTAATTTGTAACCTGAAAAGCATGTTTATTTGCATAATATACCTGTGCACTGCCTAAATTTGAATCACACCGGCATACACATCACATTGAAGTTTAAGTGATCGAATTGATTCATTGTTGTGCTTCAACATTGGTTTTGACTTTGCATTCATATTGTGTGTTGATCATCTGGAAAAGTTTTTTTTCCAAAACCTTTTCTGTTTAGTCCATGAGTACGAGCCACCCTTTTACAGAATCTAGTATGGGTTCGAGGGTCGAATTATCGCAATTTGATGGAAAGGGGGACTACTCAATTTGGAAACAGAAAATGAGGGCCATTTTGGTCCAACAGAGAGTTGCTAAAGCTCTCGATGATCCTTTGACTTTTTCTGACGAGTTAAAAGCTAAA